GGAAGGAAGGTTGGGCAATCTACTTCCATAGTGATACCGCCTCAGAAACCCAAGGAGGGGTCGCCGTGAGTTGGATACGACTCCACAGCAGTGAGTTTTTTTTTTTTTTTAATGATTTATCACATCTGAAAAGCACCACAGGCAGACACCGAAAAATTGCAGACGTTTCCTCTAGCCTTCAAATTCTGCCTAGCCAGAGTTTTTAATTTTGGGGGTTACAGTATGCAAAATTTCAAGCATTTTCTATTCTAGTGTTCAAATCTGACCCCAAGCTGGACTTTGCTGGCCTCATCCCACACCACTCACTCTATGATACACTCCAGTCACAAGCAACTTGTCCTTCCTGGAATGCCTTGCACTTTCCTATTAGGTCCATTGCTTTTCTCCAATTCTCTCCATTTTTTAAGACCTGACTCAAAGTCTTGCCTGGGACCTTTGTCTGTACACCAATCTAGAGGGCAGAATTAATCACTCTCCTCTAGTTTCTATGGCATTTAATTCAAATAGCGGAAGAGAACTTATATTTTATAGAATATGCAATTTTCTCACTAATCTGTGAGTTTCCAGGAGCTTATTTTTTAAAATTTGAGTCATTTAAAAATGCTTTCATTAAATCATTTATAAATATAGAAAAATATTTATAAAATGTATGTAAGCCATAGGTGGTGCTTCTCAAAGTTTAGTGTGCACATAAAATCACATGGGGATCTTTATAAAAAGATTCAATAGGTCGGGATAGATCTGAGATTCTGCATTTCTAAGAAGCTCCCAGCAGATGCCACCACAGCTGCTTATAAGCAGGACACACTTTGAGTAGCAAGGGTATAAAGAACAGCAATGTAATGAATACCTGTGTATTTACCCCCCAGTTTAAGAAAAAAGAGTATTACCATAAGCATACTGTGTTTGCTCCTCTCTACTTCCTACCACTTACTCTACCCTCAGAGGAACAATTAGCCTGAATTTGTGTTTTATAGTGTCTTGCTTTTTAAAAAATCGTTTTTAAACACATATTTGCATCCCTAAATAATATAGTTTTGTAAGTTTTTTTTTAAATTTTATGTAAATGGAATCACACTCTATGTACTCTTCTGAAATTTTTTATACCCAACTTGTTACTGATCTTGACCCAGGTTTAGTCTACAGTTGTATTACTAATTTGAATGAGAATTCCCTTATGCTTACCTGCTGGTGATTGGGAAAATGTTCCATGGCTTTGAGCAGCAGATGGGTCACATCAGCCAGGAGTCGTACAGGCATTCCTGTAGCAAGATCCTGCTTGGTTAAGTTAAATACACAGGCGCTTGCAGCCAGTTGCACTGGCAAATTCATAGGGTGGTTTCTCATCCCAGTAACCACAAGCTGGAAAAAAAGAGTCCTCTTACTCCACCATATAAATACAAGTCCTCTTCACATAGCAACTTTATGTTGCTGGTCTAGGATAATTTCAAAAATGTCTTAAGTATCTTTCTCATCCTCATGTGCAAAAAGCCTAGGATATGGCAGTGACTCAAAAATAGTTATGTAGCTCCTGCAACCTGGTCAAGGTAAGTATCAAGTTATTCATGTCCAGAGGTTTTTTGTAAGGCTAATGAATCATATCTATACAGATAACTCATCTTTATATTTCTAAGACAGAGTACAGTACCTGTGAATCAAGTGAATCAATTCTTACTTAACTATCGTAAGAAAACCACTGGCAAACTTCACTCTCAAATCCTACCTTCAGTTCCTTGAGAATACTGCTGAATTAAAGTGCAATAAAACTGATTCCCTCTACCCTGCTTTTAGGAGCTCTGGTAGCATAGTGCCTATGGCACTTGACTGTTAACCAGAAGGCTGGCAGTTCAAACCCACCAGCCACTCCTTGGAAGGAAGGTTGGGCAATCTACTTCCGTAGTGATACTGCCTCAGACACCCAAGGAGGGGTCGCTATGAGTTGGTCCGACTTGATGGCAAATAACAACAACAACCCTGCTCTAGAAAACTATTGCTCACCTTTCCCCTTTTCCTCAAATGCTAAACAAACCATCCTCATTCCTCATTTTCAGTTGAAGACTTTATTTCCAACTACACTGAGATGGGGAGCTCTGGTAGCATAGTACATAAGGCACATGACTGTTAACCAGAAAGCTGGCAGTTCAAACCCACCAGCCACTCCTCAGAAGGAAGGTTGGGCAATCTACGTCTGTAGTGATACCGCCTTTGAAACCCAAGAAGGGGTAGCTATGAGTCAGATCTGACTCGACGGCAGTGAATACAGTAGTAGTAGTACACTGAGAAAACTGATGCAATTAGAAAAGAACTTCAGACTGTCACCACCACATCTACCCTCTTACTAGCATGCCCACTTACACAAGTCATTTTCCTCCCAATTACCATAAATGAACTTTTGGGCTCCCCCCAAAAGCTAATTCCTGTACTTACACACTAGACACTTTCCTTCTTGTCTACTCAAGGACATTATGCCAGTTGTTTTCCTTTCTTACTCCTCATCAATTTTCTGTTTTATATTGGCTCATTCATATCTGCATACTAACAAGCTACTATTTCTTCCACTACCAAAAAAAAAAAATCATTTAACAAAACCAACCTCTTCAGTCTCCTTTCTCTGCTACCTTTTTTTCTCTGCTTCCCTTTGCAGCAAAATGCCTGAAAATAATTGCCTATATTTATTTTTTTTCTTCCTCCATTCTCCCTTAACAGATTTTACACTTGCTACCACAAAGTCACAAAATACTTCCATTTTACTAAATTCAACAGTCCTCATCTCCCTTGACTGATCTATCAGCAGCACTTGATATAGTTGCTCATTCCCTCCTCCCTGATACATTTTCTTCATTTGGCTCTCATTACATTCTTGTTTGAAGCAATTGATGGCTCTACAGGAGAAAAGACCCGGTGATCTGCTCCCATCATGTTTATAGCCTAGGAAACCCTATGGAGCAGTTCTACTCTGTAATGACCCTCATATAGGGTCATTACAAGTCTAAAGAAACTCCATGGCTCTAACTATAACAGTTCACTCATTTGATACTCCTTCTACCTCACTGGAGACTCCTCCTCAGTCTACTTTGTTATTTTCTCCTCTTTCCCTGACGTCTTAATGTTGGAGTATTCCAGGACTCAACTGTTGGACCTTCTCTCTTTGGTATCCCTATTCACTCCCTCCAGGACTTCATCTAGTGCCATGGCTTCAAATTCCATCTGTACACGGATGGCTTTTAAATTCAAATTTTCAGCCCAAACCTTTCTCTTGAATGTTTGAATCATTTATCCAACTGTATACTTGACATTTCTGTGGACACTTAAAAGACATCTCAAACTCATCATGTTCAAAACTGAACTCTGTATCTTCCCCCCAAATCTTTTCTTTCTTTGCCTTACTCACCTGAAGTAATGAAAACTCTAGTCTTCTAGAACTTAGACTAAAAATCTTAGAGCATTCCTTAAATATTCTCTCTTAACTCCAACATCTAATCAATCATTCAGGGAGTACTATCAGCACTTCCTTCAACATATATCCACTATCTGATCACCTCTCACCATCTCTACTACTATGACTTTGATTAGAGGCACCATCAACTCTTCCCTGCTCTGATAAAGGTCTCTTTGCTTCTACTGTTGTCCCCCTATGTTCCCAAAACAATAGAGAGATTTATTCAAAATAATCAGACCACATCGCTCCTCTGCTCAAAATCCTCCAATGGCTTATAAGGCCCTACATAATCTGAATTCCCATTATCTCTTTGATTGCATCTACTATCCCCCTTGCTGTCATCACTCCAGTCACAGTAGCCTCCTTGCCCTTTCTCATACTCCCAAAATCAGGCCTTTGCTAGATCTTCATTGTTGACTACAACAGCCATTAGCCCAATGCGTCTATTTACATTTTCACTTAAATGAAATAAAACAAAAAAATTAGTTCCCTAGTCACACTAGACACATTTTAAGTGCTCAGTAGTTTTATGTGGCTAGTGGCCACCGTATTGGATAGCACATATATAGAACATTTCCCTCATCACAGAAAATACTATCAGAAAGCACTGCTCTTGATAATTGCCTTTGCCTGGATCACTCCAGATATCCACTTGACTGACTCTTTCACCTCCCTCTAGTCTTTGCTCATACTTTACCATCTCAGTAAGACATACTCTGATCATCTACTCAATATTGTAATCTCCTCCCCATTCTCATATTCTAGGTTTCTCTTACTTTGATTGACTTTTCATTGCTTTCATAACTCATCACCTTACATGCTATTTTTTACATTTTTTTATGTTGTTATTTTTACTTATTTATGTCTTAATGCAAATGTGAGCTTCTTGAAGGCAGATATCTTTGTTTATTCACTGATGTATCCAACATACCTAGTACAAGGCCTTTCAAATAGTTGGTGCTCATCAAGTATTTGTTGAATGAATGAATCAGTAAACATTTCAGATCAGAATTCCCAACAAGGACTAAAGGTCTAGTCCTTAGTTGTTCAGGTTCACAATAACCAATACTAAAACAAGATAATGCATTTGACATATCAAGTATCAATATCTTCTGGTATGGTCCAATAGAGCCTGGTGGAACCACTGAGACTATGGCCCCTAGCTGCCCTTCAGGTCTGGAATTGAACCCATACCTGTGGTTTC